TAGGAGAGAATGTTATAATAACTAAAAAATAAATAAAATTAATAATAATGTTATTAATATTAGGAGTTTTAATATATGCAGTAATTTCAGGTGAGAACAAAACCTCAAAAGTTCCATTTTAAAAATAAGTGTTCCATTCGAATGAAGGAGACTGATAGTGATCGACATATAGAGGAAGAAGAAGAAAGAGAGGTTAAGCAGAGAAACATCACGTGCAGGTTGCAGCAGAACATCTCTATTTGAACCCGAAAGACTTCAATTCTCGAGAGAAATAAACTGAGAATGATCAAAGAATACAAGGACTTGATCGAGTTGCTCCAATGTGGAAAAGGAAGAGGACAATGCATGTTGTTCTTCCCTGGGAGAAGGCATCGTCGAACAAGTCGAAGGTGACAATGTCGAAGAATAGCTCATACGTACAATTTGTGCGACAAGAAAGACTTACTAAAGAGTGATCGACAAACTTCTAAACAGAAGTTGCATTATAAGGCTTGGACGTGATCCATTACGTGCCCTAGTGTGCCATAAGTTGTTGTGCTCGAAGGAGAAAAGGAGTGGAGGCAACGACTTGAGTGTTTACTACATGTTCTGAGCAAAAGAGGAGGCGTGGCTTAGGAGACTGAACGAAGGTAGGGCTTTTATAATTGAAGTTAAAAAAAATTATTTTACAAGAATTGGGTTAATAATTTTATGATTGGAATCAAACAAGTATTACGGTAGTGCAAGAAGAGTTGTATCAGTCCAAACCAGAGGAAGAGGAAGAAGAAGTGGAAGAGCTTTCATTTTGAACAACAATAATCAAGATAAGGGTTTATGGTTTTATGCTATAATTAAATAAATTATATTTATTAAAAGTTTTTTTAAATTTAATATTAAAATCTATGAATTAATGAAAGAGATTATAGAAGTTAAGAGCAAAGAAATTGTCCAGGATCGAAGCGAGTACTTTTTACTTCTGAATTATAGTAATAATGTTGTATTTCTTCTAAATCACTTACATTGGAATGATATTAGGCAAAATACCTTGATAATGCAAGTAGAATATTATTATTTTGTTTTATTATTTAAATTGATCATCTAAAAATGAATGTGATCGATTTGCATAATTATACTTATTTATTTCATCTGCATATTATAAAAGAAAGATATTAGATAATATTTAAAATCCAAATGAAATGATTTACACGATACTTGCATGTGCACTTGACTGATGAATTTTACCTCTTTATAGTACTAGCGCAGGAACATTGAGGTACCCATGCACTTAAATGAAAATTGATATTGCTATTGATGAAACTTCATTGGTATTAGTTTAGGCAGTGCTCCTGTAAAGGTTGTATACAGATTAAAAAGATATTGATATGTAACGATATACTAAGGCATGGTGAAAGTTTATAAATATCTAGAATAATAATGTTAAATAGTACAAACCTTCAAATACTTTTAGATTGATTTACATCAAGTTTAATTAGCATGCATCTTTTTTTCATTGTATTAAAATATAGTTTAAAATTATGGGTATTCATTAACTTTAATTTGAATACTGTTGTAAACTATTATTGCACGTTTAATTATTTTATTAAAAAGTAAAAAAATAGAAGAAAAAATATTTATAGAAAATGCGTAAAATCAAAAATGAGATAAATTTAGCTTATTGTTTTAATTTACTTTTTTTAGTGGCTCTTTCATTTGTTAAATGATAGTTACAGAAAATGAATATAGAAATTTAATATTCTCCATCCGGTCGTCTGTACCCGTCTTGATTAATTTCAAGCCTCGGGTCAAGTCGTAACAATTATCTCCTTCCTCCGTCAGTGTCTTTCCTTACCACTGTGTGAAAGATCGTTTCATTTTTTTGGCTTGCATAAGTTCTATGATAAGATTTTGGAGGTGTCGACATTTCTTTGTGTTGTGCTCGTAATCTAGGTGATAGGCGTAGTACCTCATTGGGTTGCGGGTGTATCCTCCTGCCTTCATCGGAGTTGGCTTCAAAAAAAATCTTTATTTTGGATGACCTCTACTACTTCAGTCATTGAAACTCGCAGCAAGGTCAGTTGAGGAATCTTGCTAGTCAGAGGCAATGGCCTCTCAAGATATCGATCCCACTATCATTCCTGATCCGGGTTGTCCCAACATTCGGGTGTACAACCCTTTTTATTGAACAAACCCACAAGTAAGGTTGAAGTGATTGTCCTCGTGTTGGAGTTCTAGTTGTGACCATAGAGGATGGCTTGGCTTCCACTCGCTCCTATGGGAGCTCCTCTTCAGCAAATGCTGACCCGGTTGGTCGATCTCATGAAAGATCAAAGGTGAATTATGTTCTTCCACCAATTTGTGGTTGGTAGTGAGTTACAATAATTATACCAGCATTTATGGGCACTGCAAGCCCAACGCATATTAGAAGGGTCCTTCTCATAGCCATTGGACGAGAGCTGCATGGGTAACTGTAGGCACCAGATCTCATACCTCCAACATTTTTTTTTCTTAAAATGGGTTATGAAAGCGCGTAAGGACTCCCATGTCCTTATCACAGTTGTAGTAGCGTCTGGGAATTCTTAAGAGGCTTCTTTGCATTGGCAAACAGTGTCATGAACATCCTTTTGAACTTCGTGAAGGGATTATTCATAGTGGTAAGCTGATAAACCGCCAGAACATGGATTCTTTCAAAATCATGAAGAAAAGCTTGAACATCAGCGCACCGTTTATCCATAACACACATTCTGTCCACTCAAAAGATGCAACATGGCAAATAGATTTAACTTCCCACAGTAGGGCTCTAGAATTGGAATTTTGAAGTGATAGGCCGCTTCAGCTTGGAAAATTTGTCAGGAGAAGGAATTCTCTGGCTAAATAATTTACAGTGCATTGGCCCATCCCTATTGTCGCGGACCAAAGGTGTTGACCGCGCATTATCTGAGTAGTACATGTCATCATCTGCACTCACGATTGGAGAAGTGGCTCTTTTGGGTACTCACGATTGGAGAAGTGGCTCTCCTGGCATTGGCACTAGGTTCCCTCTAGCACGGGTCAACCACCGGCTGAGATGGTGGGGCCACCCCTTCAGTTAAGGTTTCTCTTATTACATCCATCATTTGCTCCTTAAGTTCTCGGATCTGTTGTGATATGTAATCTGTGCATTTCATGTTGTCGGTGCTTTCGCGGTGACTTTTTCCTTTTTGTGTTGCGTCTCTTCTTGTTTATGGCATGATCTACACTCACTACACTTTTTTAAAGGTGTTGAACCCAAATATGTTCCCAATTCACACCCCAAGGAATAGAACATAAACAAAAAAGAGGAAAATGGGCTGCAAGAGATGGAGTTAGACGAAAGAGCTTTCAGGTCCGGGAAATGATATCAAGTTGAGGATTTTCCCAAAGGGCCCTTTACATTTAATTTACATTATTTATGGTGGCTTTTATTTACAAAAAAATACCTATTTGAGCATACCCTAGCCTAAAACTTACACATGAGTCTCACTGATTATTGTTATTCATGTCTATTCACGGCTATGTTTTTTGAAAAGAGTTAATTGTCAATCGAATCCTTAAGCAAAGCATCTGGTCCTAAATTATGGTCACCCCGTGTTTGGCTTCAAATGACAACACATCCCTGGATGCCTTTATATGGTCCTCTGGCTTCGGACACTCGATCTTGATCGTCCAGCTACGGGCGCTCAACCCTGGTTATCCGACTGAGAGCATTCGGTCCTGTTCTCAGGCGCTGGAACTTGGTTATTGGACAGCGAGCATTCAGTCTTGAACCTCTAATGATAGAAATCATACTGGTGTGTTTGATTGGTCATTCCAGCTAATCAAGAATAGTCTATACAATGATGGATCTAAAGCTAGCTGAATTGCAATTATCTGGATCATCTGATTTAGGGGGACTCAAATGGTCACTTTTTGACTGTACGCTAATCGATGCCTATGCATTTACATAGCTAACATCCGAACTTCAATTTTTAGATATATACCACCTTACCTATGCATGAAAAATTTATCCTTCACATTTTAAAAATTAATATAGTAATATTTTTATGTGAAATGAAAGATTTGGGCGTTATATATGTAAAGGGCTAAGTTAAGGTGTTAGATATATAATACAAAGAAATTTGGTGGTAGGTATGTAAAGGCCCTACGTATTAAATAGAATCACACGTGAATAAGGATTTTAATTTTTACTAAAAGAAAATTTAATCTATAAAGTATCTAGGAGGTCAGAAGTTAACAAGATCAAAGCAAGCTCTGAAGCTAAGCATCTGTTTGGGATCATTTTTTTATTTTTATTTTTGACTTCACTTCCATTTTAAAAAATATGATCATTTAATACACTTTTCAATTTTTTTTTTTTTGAAAAAGAAATTAATTTATTTTTAAAAACACTCAAACTAGCGTTTAAGCACCTTGAGTATATTGCAAAAAGAACTACTGCCACAACTGGCCACTAACCACCACCTGTCATCACTGCTAGGGCACAAAGGTTTTCTTAAATTTTTTTAATTTTCTAAATTTTATTTTAATTTTTGGCCACCATGTTTTAATTCAAATCAAAACATAAATAAATTAAAAACATATTTTTAATTTACCAAACATAGTTTATATCAAATAAAATTTAAATAAACTAAAATAAAAACAAAAGCACTCCCAAATAGCAAATATAAAAACTACAGGCATTTACATACATACCACGCAATTTTTATATTTTTACATATCTAACACCAAACTTTTAGAGTTAAATGCATAACACACAAACCTTAATTTTACCTCAAAAATATGATTATTATTAACTTTTTATAAGTGAAATACAGATTTTCATGGATAAGCTTATAAATATCAAACTCTAAGTGTTAGATATATAAATATAAACTTTAAGTGTTAGATATGTAAATACATAAGAATTGTGTGGTATACATGTAAATTTCTGAAAAAATTATTCACAATCATCAGGCAGTAGAAACCCACAAACCTTAAATAAATACAAAAAAAAACTATACACATACCCCATTTTGAGCTCTTTGGTATCCATACGGTTTGCTGCAAATTGTGAAGTATGAGCGAGATTGTTAGATAAATAGCACAAGAATAAAAAAATGCGACATAAAAAATCTTTTCTAAATAAGAAAAAAAAAAAAGCTAAACAAGAGACATTCACCAGCAGATCTTTTCATCTGCACTCTTTTCTTCTTTAGCTGTTCATACTTGTGCTTTCTACAATAGAATGCATTTGAAGAGAATTAGCTACCAAATGCACTGCATTACAAAAAAGAAGGGGCGGCGTGGGGTGGGGGTGAATTTTACATAAATACCACACAATTCTTATGTATTTACATATCTAAAAAATAAAATTTGATATTTACATTTGTAGCACTTTGTTGTTATAAAGCTATTGCATAAAAAAGTGTATTTCTCTTTTAAAAAGCTATTTGAGTGGTTCGCATGTAGATATGAGAGTTAGGTGTTAGATATGTAGATAAATAAAAATTGTGTGGTAAGTATGTAAATGCGCCCAAAAAAGAAAAAATGCAGTCTATATAAAAAATTAAAAAAAAAAAAACTTTTAATGGTGGATCCAAAATGAATTATTAATATGCCTTCGGAGAGCAAATAACTTGTATATTGCTAATTAAAAAAATGAGCATGAAATCCAATAGTAAACATGCAAAAAAAAGATGCTTGCTATTCATAAAAGGATCATTAACATACATACCACACAACTCCTATGTATTTACATATGTAATAGCTAAACTTCAATTTTTACATATGGGATACAAATCCATAGCGACCATACATGCGAAACATATAATTTGAGGAGTTGTCATACTGCTTATTTAGGTCGACAACATCATTATAATAGTTGGTGACTTAGAAGGAATAGAGACTTTATATAACACTACAGAAATTTGAAGTCAAATATTAGTGAGTTAAATTATTTACTTGGCATTTAGATTGCAAACCCTAGACATGAAATCTTTATAATACAACACATATACATATAAACGTATCCGAAAAATGAACAAGTGACATGCATATGAAATGTACTTATTCGTCACTTTATTTTCACCTATTTATACGTTTATGTTACGCTTTTTGGAAGGTTTTGGACACAAGGAAGGATGGTTAACGGAGTTTGGAATTTTTAAAAACAGAGCTAAGCGTTGTTATAGTACTTAGGCCCAAAGAGGACTTCCTCAAGCAAATTTCGACAAAATATAGAGCTGTTGGAAAGTAGGCACCAAGAGGCCACCAGACTACTAGAGCCTAGGCGCTGGGCAAAGAGGACTTCCTCAAGCAGATTTCAACAAAATACAGAGCTGCTGGAAAGTAGGCACCAAGAGACTACCAGACTACTAGAGCCTAGGCGCCTAGAGCCTATGCGCCTAGAGCCTAGGCGGCCAAAGCAGGATCAAAACGTGCACAAGACAGAGCAACTGAAAAGTAGGCACTGCCCTTGTGCGCCTAGCATCGGTTGCCAAGTAGGTTTCAGAGAATTTTCACTTGGAATACAGAGCACAGAAAGTAAATGTTGTCTTACCGGCACCTAGGCGTCGCCTTTTGGGCTCTTAGGCGCTCAATGCCCTAAATCAAAAATTGGTGCCTAGTGTCTAGGCACCGCAACCTGATGCCTAGGTGCTAGTTTACGCGCTTAGTCGGTTTTTTGCAATTCAGACGAGTCTCTTCGCCGGGAAAAATATAAAAGCCTTGGATTTGACTGAAGAGGGGTATTTTTTCTGTCATTTTGAAGCATGCAGCATCTAATGAGAAGAACAAAGAAGATCTTCAACTTGCAATGAATTGTAGAGAAGTGAGTTTTATAAGTGTTTGCGGGACTTTGTGGTTGTATTATCATCATTCCAAGTGAGAAGAAAGAGAGCAAGTACTTTGGAGTTCTTTGTGTAATTTGATTTCATTTCAGTTGTTAAAGACTTTTTTGTTAGATTTATTATTCCAAATAAAATATTTATGTTGATGTGCACAAGAATGAGTAGTGAATAGTTCTCATATTCTCTCTTGAATTGGGGATGTAAGATTGATATCTGTGAAATTTCTTATGTGATTTTGTGCATAATCTTAAATGGTGATGTTTAATCTTTGGAACTTCATTTACTTTCACTCTGGCAAAATGAATTGTTAATACTTGTCGTGAATTAAGAAATTCAGAAGAGATCATATTGGAACGATTAGATTAATCAGTTTATCTCAGAGGAATAAGGATACTCCACTAGCTTAGTGTAGACTTTTTGGGAGAAATTAGTTCTTAGGGCTAGAAATTGGATTTAGGGAACTAAACCAAGTTTTCTTAGCCATACTTCCTTAGACTAACAAGAGGGGGTAAGAAAAACGGATGCTCTCATTTGTCACAATGCTTGTTGAGTCATTCTTTAACACTTGATGTCTTGTGCAACCATTTTAGGGAAGAACCTCTTAAGCATTTGAAAACTCTTAAACTCTCTATTGTTAGCATAGGATATCTTGAACTTGATAACTTAGGGTTAGTTACTTTAGTATAATTACCGAAACTACAACATGTAGGCTAGGACCATCGATAGTAAACTAGAACTTTTTCGTTTGGGATTCTGCTCGCTCTCTGAGGAATCAATACCCGAAACTCTATTCTAGATACTACTGAAACAACACTTATACTTGCGTGAATCGTCAGTGCTTCGCCGCACTTGTTTCGTATCAACAAGTTGAGAGAAGCCCCGAAGATTTAATTATGAACTTAAAGATATTCAAAAGACAACCATAGAAAAAACCTAAAAATAAAAAATTTGTGAGACTCTATTCTAGATACTACTAAAACAACACTTATACTTGCGTGAATCGTCAGTGCTTCGCCGCACTTGTTTAGTATCAACAAGTTGAGAGAAGCCCCGAAGAATTTAATTATGAACTTAAAGATATTCAAATAACAAATATAGAAAAAACCTAAAATAAAAAATTTGTGAGAATATTTGTCTATTTATCACATAATAGTAAGCCAAATCATGTACATATTTTATAGATGTACATCAAATCTTATAAAGTCTGAAAGAAACTTCAAGTAAAGAATTTTATGCAATGGGGGGAATATCTAACACTTGAAACCTAAAAGATGTCATTTATGCAAGTTCTATGGTTGAAAAGAGGTCAACTTAAGGATATTGCACAATTTTATAAGGCAATTTTGTAACTTAGAGAAGTGAAAAATAAACTGTGATGGCAAGATCTAGCGTAGAAGGTAAATTTATATATAGGGCATTAAAAATCTATGAACTAGGGTTGAAAATCATCTGAAAGATCCAAAGATTGAATGGAAATGTCCTATTAGGCTCCCTATAGTTATTATAGATTGGCTATCATTAATTCACATAGTCCCATGCAACATAAGTAACAAAATCAATTTAAATGTATAAAAATTCTATAAACCTGAAGCTAGACAATGATTTAATATGTATTTTGTTTGTTACCAGAGAACAATTCGAAAAATTTCTCACCAAATGATTATCAAGAACAACAACAATAAGCCTTTATCCCACTAAGTGGAGTCGGCTACAAGAATCATTTTTCTCTACTGCGCCCTATTGATGTTGACCTCATTTTTAGTGAGGTCTAGTCTTTCTCTTAGGATTTAGGATTTAGCCTTAGGAATCTCCCTTTGACTATCCTGGAACCTTAGAAATGGGACCCGCCTCTTTTAGAATTGACTATCCTAGAACCTTAGAAATGGGACCCGCCTCTTTTAGAAAGGGCCCCGCCTCTTTTAGAATTTCAACCTACTTTTGTACGCTTTTAGAGTTTCACGTTATAGGACCTTCCTGAGCCTTAGGGTGGCCTTCTGCACAATTCGCACTCCCGCGCGCACAAGCTTCGCAATTCGGAGAGTCGACGTGTCCGATCGCCGCAATTCGCATTGCCTGCACTGTTACCTGTCGAATGCTCAATTGAATCTTTTGGGATGATCGATCGCGGGTCGAAATTTTATGAAATTTGAATTTCGACGGGTTTTTGACCCGATTGTCGACAATGTAGTTCGAGCGACCCTGGATGACAAAACGGACTGCACTGACGCGTCCGGAATGTTGATTTTGCTTAGGGAGGACACCCATTTTGCTAAGGCACTGCGCGCGAATAAATTGCATGGGTTTTAATATGTGTGTGTGTATATATATATATATTAATAAAAAAAATGAATCCTCTTTTTCCTTTTAAAGCCCTAAATCCCTATACTCACGCATCTGAACTCTGCCTCCATTTCCCTCTCACGTTCGCGTGTCCCGCTCTCCCCTTTCTCGATCTCGAGCCGACCGAGCCCCTTCTACTCCACGGGAGGGAGAGTTGACCTCTCATTCGTCCTGGCCCGACACTCTTTGCTCGAGACTCTCCTTCCCGAAGCTGCGCCTGCCTCTCCGAGCTACGATTTT